TGGGTTTGAACATTGTTGGAAATAGTTATTAGACATTTCAATATGGAATGTTAGATATTATACCTTTAAATGAGAAGACTTATACCACTCTCTATGTCCTTTAAGTATGAAGCTACAGCTGGCTTGCCTAGTTTAACATAAAGAATAGAAGCAGCTAACTAATTAACATGTTAATATCTTGATGTCAAAAAATTGCTGTTGTATCTTTTTGGTCTGTGATAGGCTGATGGTGTTCTCTCTCATCTCTAGTAAAAACACTACCCCAGAGCATCAGAGCCAGCAATCCACAAGGCAGACTGTGTTGCTGTGGTCAGTATTTTGATTTCACGCTTTCCACGCTTTCCACGCTCGCCAAAATGTCTCAGATCTGTGCCAGAGTGGCCCTGAAACTCCACCTTCTCCAGGTGCATGCTGCCAACCTGTAGGTTCATGGAAATGTATGGAAATTTACACCGTCATTTGTTTAGGCGTCTGTGGTGCAACTCGCTAAAATACAAAGCACGCACTTGCAATCTTGTGGGTTTTTTATCCAGGTGCTCCTCCCTTCCTCTCTCTCTCTGTCTCTCTCTCTCTCTCTCTCTCCACCATTAGAGTAAAAGAAAAACAGACGGTAAAAACTCAGCGGAGAGTAAAAACCAGCAGCCTTTTTTAGCTGCCTCTGGCCATAGTTACCAGTCATTACAATCCACAGAACAAAGACGAACATGAAAGCTAAGACAGAGAGGGGGGAGAAAAAGGAAAATGACACAGAGAGAAAGAGAGGGAGGCAGTAAGTAAAGGATCCAGAAGGACTGTGTTTTTACTTGCCCCAAAAAGAAATTTGCAGCAGTAGGAAAAACTTGACACTACTCTTTTACACAATGACATCATGCACTGGAAGCAAAACTTATCTTCTATGAGGTCACTTGAGGATGTTTTGGGGCTAGTAGGTAGAAATGATTTACCACACTGACTGTGGATTCATCATCTTTAGAATTATTAACCCATCTTATCACAAAATCCAAACACTGCTTTCCTTCTTCGTTCATTTTCTTCCACAGACGCTGCATCCCTCTGTGCATAGCGCTTTAGCATAATGGGCATGCGGTTGCTGACACATTTAAGTGGATATCCGAGACAACATTTTTGACAAAACCACCTCAATTGTAATATTCCTGGAGGAGAGGGAACGTTCGGCACTGTAGCACACACACTGAAATGTGATCTTAATCCGCTGATATGGTTTTGTATCTGTGCTGAAGTTGAGTAGGTCATGATCAAAAGGTCAGCAATTCTCCAGAGAAAGTGATCCTTCTCTTCAAAGCTTACGTGTGGGGCATGATGGAAACTGCCCCAGGGTGTGACATACAGCTTTTAAGAGATAATAATTAATTCCTTTTAGTTTATTTCAACTAAGTTATGAGGTGTGTTTGCGTCTTTTTGAGCTAGTACAGCCAGTTTGCACAATGTACATTATACAGAATGTATTAATTTTGACCACTGTTTAGGGGCACCAATTTTATAGCTCAATTTAATCTAAAATCTAATGTAATTGTACTTATGGGAAGTGTAGGATCCAGTGTTTTGGGGCTTGACTGAGGACTTAAAGCCCTCTGCTACATCAATTGTTTTCTCCATGCTCAGATAAGCCCTGGGATTAGATGTTACATTAGCTAGTGTTGCACACTGTTGACACGAGGGAAGCAGAGAGAGAAGGCACTCAGGAGCGCACATAAACATCCCATCCTTTAATCCTGAAACCTTTACATAGAAATCAACTTTATTTGAGTTACATTCACAAATCGGCAATTAAAAGTGATCAAAATAATATGTAAAATGCTTCAGAATCTTACGTATGGCACCTTTAATGACATCATTAAACTGTCATTAAACGCCATATCACTAATGTTGAGTAACATTTGGAGGTAACAGGGTCAAATATGAAGTGATGGTTTAGTTATTGAGGTAAATGTGACAATATATCTTCTGAGTCTCTGGAGCTACATGGCGCTGTGAATGAACACGATAAATATGTTACTTCTTCAAAAATCAATATGTTTGATTTGTTGCCATCATCTTCTCCGCCCTGAGGGATCATTAAAAATTCATCCCATCCACTTAATCTAATTTACTTTCCTGTACTGACTTTATTGATCATGTTCTCTTGCTTCTGTATTGATACAGTTCGCTTGTAACTGTTTGCTGTGACTGACTCTTGATAACAAAATAAATTGACTGAAAGGTGCATAACAACCGCTGCTGCTGCTAAAGCAAACAGATAAATGCTTCCTGTTCTTCTGACACACACACACACACACACACACACACGGATACACATCCCAGACTGTATTATAGGAGCTTAGCTGAGACTTGTCAACTTCTAATCTTGATTTGGCAAAAGGCAACGTTAGGAAAGGTTTATACCTTGGCACTAACAGTCTGTGTGAGGGCACAGCAGGCTGTATAGGCTCATGAGATAACCTCTGTCCATCTGCCAAACACCATCTCTGCACACAGCAACTCAAAACAAAATACCGTACACACCCGTAAAAGAAAGCCTAAAGGGGGCCAAGAAAAGCATGAAAATCTATCTGGATTAATATCAACACTGCGGTTTTCGCTCATCAGAGCAAACAAAGAAACTTCATAAATGCGATGGAATCAACCAATGACAGAGAGGAGATGTTGACACTCAAAGTCTCAAAAAAGGGTTTTGTCCCAGCTGACGAGAGGAAACACACCGCGTTAATGGGACGAATGTGATTAACATGCTGTCAGTGTGCTCCGCTGTGGACTGTACTGTACTGACGGACAAACCTCACGTTAGCACACAGCTCACTTCAACACACAGCTAGGACCTCAGGACAAAGCACACGCTCCACTTTAGATTGGATTATGTAAGCGTTAGATGGATAATAGTGCCTTCAGCAGGAAAAAGCATCTTTGGGCCATGAGACAAAATCAATGTGAATAACAAAGTCAGGTCATGTTCATTCATTTAGCTCCTTTATAGAGTGTTTTATACACGTCTACAAACCGATTTTAACAAGAGGTTTGTTACATACTAACTGATGATGACTTCAGTTTGTTTATGTGTGCTATGATGTGTGTTGCTGGAAGAGTTTAAACCTCTGTCCATCACTTAGTCCACCACATCTTTACAACAAGAGGCCAGATTGCAGTATTTTCTGTGGATATTCACGGTCCCCAGAAGATGATTCCCGATGCCGTTGCTGATTGCCCGACCTCAGTGTTCTCGTTGTAACGTAAAAAAACTGTGACCAAGATATGTACCAAGAGAGACATTTCACAGTTAATAAGTAGACCTGTCAGTTCAAACGGAACAGGACAAACTTGGCTACTAGGGATGAGCAAGTACACCATTATCATTATCACCATCTACCATATTATCCGTATTTGTACTCTGAGTGGGCGGGGCTTAAACAGGAAGTAGGTATGACTAACCGGATGTTTTTAATACATTTAGAGCAATGTTTTGATCACAATAGTAGAATTTAAATCAAATTTGCTGTATTTATTGTTGATTAGAAACACATTTTACTGTGATCATACTCGTACTAAGTACATTATTTTGTGAGCATATTCGTAAACTCACAGAGGATGAACCCTCAGTGGCCTTCCTCTAACGTGGTGCATGTATAGACCCTCTACTTATTATAAAGCTCCAAACATACCAAGAGGTGAGTCAACCTGTGACGCCAAAGACTGTAGAGACTTGTAAATAATTACAGCTGGACCAGGACAAAGAAATGCACACACACACACACACACCTGCAAAATTCTCACAGTCTTATCTCTCTCTATATATAAATGTACAAATAACTTATCTACACACAAGAAACAAACTCATCCAACACACACGCTACAATATTAAATGAACAGCCTTGTTCTTCCTCTCTCACTTGCCTCAGACACTCGGGCACATACACACCTGTCATCATCTTCAGTTGCAGCCACAGCCTGGTGATATCGTGGCAGAGTTGAGACACTCGGTTCAGAGCCATTGTGTTGCCGGTACATGTATGCCCCCTGATACACAGGTACACACACACGCGCGCTGTTAAAACACATTCACACACGGTCACATATTCTGTCAGAGGACACCACGGTGGAAGTTCACGCAATCCATTCAGCCACAGACGAGCGCTTCAGCCTTCGGCTTACTGAGCTGTCACTTCACAGCGCAGCCCACACACACTCACGCACACACACACACACTCACCTCCCCCCCTTCCCATTTGTGCCAGCCAGCAGGCGGAGTTTCACATGATCCGCCCCCAGTTTCACATTTCACACTGTTTTCACTGATGGATAGAGGAAAACTGGATGTGACAGAATGTGGAAGTCTCTACAAAAGATAGATGAACAATAAACAAAAAAATAAAATTTGGTTTCAGCCATCTGCAGTGACTTCCCAACACACAAATCCATGATAATGATTACTGTTCATTATCATCATTCTCATTCAGTCTTCAGTGTGCTTCAATTACATTTAGCTGATAAATTAGATTACTGCATGAATACATTTCTTTGTTTTGAACATCAGTAGCAGTATGAAACATGGACTAAATTAGCTGAGACGAAAAGGATCTCTTGGCCGATACTAATCAGTTTTTAAAAGACTGTTTACATTTTCATGGTAAATGTCTCTGATTCAGTCTTCTACAGGATAAAAAACAAAGCTGTAGCGAGAATATAGAGGCAAATATGCACAAGATAGCAAACCAAAACCAATGTTAAAATCCTTTTGGGTGCAAATTTGTTGTGCATGTGCTTTGATCAGCTTCTGTTTCTAATAGGCATAAGAGTTTTTGTGTTAGATTTTTGTATTCTTTAAAGAATTTAACAGCATTTTCCTTTGGAGGGCAAGTTATTTGCTTAACTTTAAAGATTTTTATTTTGTTTCTGTCCAGTTTGAATGAAGTATTAATGTTACAATGATATACAAGGAAAAATTACTACTTTTGTCTTTGGAGTCTGGTGGCGAGCAATAGCAATTTTACAGCTATTTCTGGTTAAATGAAAGGTCTATCTCTGTAGGGATCCTTTCCTTAATGTTGCCAGACACTTAGAATAACAATCTGTGTCTGCCAGTGGCAGAACTTTTAGTGGACGTACTTGGACGGCTGCATTTGTTGCCAAGAATAAGCTAATGTCATGGGGAAGCCTGTTTCGCAGCTTTTTTTCTCATCTAACTTGGTGAATTAAGGATTTATTTTGACCAGATCAGCATTGCCGATTGTTGGAAAGACTAACAAATATGTTTTTAGTCAATCTTATTTTGTTTCAGTCTAGTTTGAAGTGTGTTTTACAATTATGTGCGAGGTAAAATTACTGGTTTTGTCAGCTTTTGGCCGTAATGGCCATTGTTTTGGTCTGAGATGTTGGTGCTCTAGTGTAACATCTAGTGGCAATTTCATATATAACCTTTAACAACAATGCCAGTAGTGCAAACTTTGTACTTTATGTTGCTTGCCTTTTTGGAAGCATAGCGTAGTTTTTTAGGTTTGTGAATGTGCTTTACAGCCATTGGGCGCAATGAATTTCACAAACATGTAAATAATAATAAAAAATAAAAAAAACTTGCAAAGACATGAAAGCCTTATCCAGAATAGTGTTCATAGCCTTTTTAGTGGAAGATGCTACTAAAATCTGCTCTTTTTCTGGCTGTTTTGCGGCTAATTTTTAAGTGGCAAATATCCTAGATACCAAAAAACACTTGAATGCACCGACCTGGGAGAGATGTGAAATAGACTCAAGTTATGGTAATGTAAAGTAAACATGATTTATGCGAGTACTGTACACAATTCAAATACAAGATTCATGTTTGTGCCAGAGGGAACGGAGGCCTCTTTCTCTCTTTTTTTCTCACGCTCTCTCACAGACACAAAACACACACACACACACACACACAAACAAACACACAGAAGACAGCAGGGGGACCCAGTGTGCCACACACAGAAGCAGTGAGAAGTTGGTAAAAATGTGAATAGACCCTCCGGACCTCAATTCACAAAATGCCGTCCTGCTGAGGAAAACACACATTTTAAAACTGCCATTCTGTTGCTTCACATAAACAAGGAATACAGTAACTCCTCACATCCTGCATATGCAAGCCAATGCGGACACTCCATAATCCCGACTAATATAACATGCAGGAGAAATATAAAAGAAGTGTGAGTCCTTCTTTAGTAACATTCCTTATTCTGGTCTTTAGCCTTTACATTTATAAGGTCATTAAACCAGCTTTCAAAGCCAAACTTTGACATTTAAAACACACAAGAGGTGGTTGCTGCCGTTTGCCTTACAGCCTCACAAGCTGCACAAAACAGGGAAATCTCAAAGGATGGATGGTTGATGTTATTTAACAAAAAAATTCTAGTGATTATACACATAAATACTTCATATGAGCATGCCTGAGAATATGACCCCGATTATGACATAGTGATGTCATCAGGGTTATTTCAGTGTGGGTTTTGAGACACAGAAAGCCTGTGGTACAAACTAGGGGGACAGAGTTTGAACAAACAAACATTCTTTCTTACAAAAGATGCTAATGAGATGCATTATGGGAACTGTAGGATCCAGCATTTGTGGTCACCATATTTTAGCCTCTCGTTTTTGTTTTGTTCACTTTCTGAAAGTACAATGCTAAATTCCCGCCGTAGCCCTTAAAGAGCACAGTTCACATGAGTTGCTTTTCTTCTTTTACACCTCGCCTCCTCTTCAGTTTACGGACTCAAATAGGAAGATTTGAGTCTATTAAACCTCACTGAATTTAATGCATGTACTGTCTGCTCTTAAGTCGTGTTAGAGCTGCTCATTTAAAACAGTAACATACGTCCTCTGCCTCACTTTTATTATAGTTAGACACGTAAGAAAGAGGCTGAGGCTGACTTTAGATCAAGGAGAATCAGACTCCTCTTCAGACACTGCTGACCTGCACAAAGGGGATAATCCTAATCACATGCAGGGAAGACCCTTACTCAGTCTGTCCATCATGCTATCTTTAGAGTCTCAAAGTACACAGAGCCATTTTATTAACTTGCACAATGGTTTAACTTGTACAGATGATTATGGTAAAGTAAGTGCACATCAACCTACACTAAGTCATAATCATAATCATCCAATCACAGATGGGATGGGAAAGTCAAAATAGGACACATGCTTAATCCTGGCTGTTTTTTCTAAATAAAAATAGAAATGCTTTCATCATCAGGGGTCAAAATTTACTAAAATATGGACTCAAATATAGGAATGTCACAGAGTAAGGGTGGTGAAAATGATAGAAGGGCTGAGATTAGGCACGACAAGATGAAAAACAATGCATGTGTGAGATTAAGAATTAGATTAGGGCTAAAGAGAAGTCTCTCAGTCTAGTCTGAGATAAGATTATCAATAAATGAAGGGATACGAGAGTTTGAGCGGAAAGGATTAAAAAGATCTGAATGTGACAATGGACGTCCGTTAGAGCGGTGTCAAAATGCAGGCCTGTGTGTGGGTGGGTGGGTGTGTGGGTCTGCCTAATGTCAGATTGAGATGATAGAGCACGTTGGCTGTCAGACAGGAAAAGGCAAATAGTTTATAATCGTTCATTTCCTGTCTCTGCTGCTTTATACTCAAACAGTTCTGACAACAACCAGTTTCACCCACTGGTGGCCGATTTATAGTTCCACCCGCTCATATATATCTGTTATATATTGTGTATTTACATTATCCCTAAAGAAATAGCGTCATATCCCCTTTGCACACGTGTCAGTGTTGTTGTTGTCTGTCATAAATTGACTTTTTATCTAGTTTTCAGCCACACTTTTTAGATATTGGTGGTTTTTAACTCTGAATGAAAGATTTTAGTCATCAGACATCTGGATCTCAAGTTGTCAGAGAAACAAGCTGAGCTAACGTTA